GTGCAATCCCTCAGCACACCTGTGGCAGTGTGAATGGCCCAACAGACTGTACAGCAGATGGCAACACACGGCGGTTTGCTGCGTTGCTAAAATGGGTCATGTGCATTTTTTAAATACTTTGTGGTGTGGTGGCAGCCCATTCATAATGACTAGGCTGCTTTACCGCAACATGTGATAACAATGGATTGCTAAAGTGTGAATCAGCCTGTCTGCTAAACTGGTTCCATCAATCACCAGACTGGACCACTAGGCCGCTTACACACAGACTATGGCTTGCTTAGCTCGTTCACACCAGTCTGTTTAGATAGGATCTCTACCCTCAACATCCAGTGATTACTTTCAGACATCAGTCTGGCATTATGTCCTGTGTGTTGAGGCCAGACAGGCCTGGGCGAGCACTTTTCATATGCAGCATGTGAGCCCCAACTGTGTGCAGTCGCTCTCGCACATATGCGGTGGCACAGTGTGTGGGCCTTAATGTCGAACTGATGCATATTTGTGGCCATGGGGCTGCGTTGCTGTATTCACTCACTGTGCGGCCTGTGTGTTTAGGCCAGACAGGTCTGGACACGCACTTCCCACATGCAGCACATTAGCCCTGACTGTCCGCAGTCTCTTTTTTGTGCTTTAAACCCACCTGCATTTAACCTTTTCCCACCAGTTTAACGCTCATATGTGGAAGTACAGCCTGAGGGCCTCAATGTCGAGCTGATGCATATATGTGTCCATGGGGCTCAGCTGTTGTGTGCACTGGCTGTACAGCCTGTGTGTTAAGACCAGACAGGCCTGGACACACGCTTTCCACATGCAGCACATGAGCCCTGACTGCAGTCTCTCTCCTTTGTGCTTCAAACCTACCTGCTTTTAACCTCTTCCCATCGGCGCAAAGTAAATATGCTGAAGCACGCCGAGTGGGGCTTAACATCAGGCTGATGCATATCTGTGTCCTTGGGGAGCTGCTGTTGTGTGCAATCTCAGCATAGTGACTAAGCTGTCACAGACTGGTCACGTTATATAATCGGATGCCAGCAGGACATATTATGAATATATTTCCTTTGCACGCCATACCCTTATACCGCTTTTAATTGGGTGCTGGAGCGACTAGTAGATGACCCCACAACAATGAATCGGGAAAATGTCATCCGCACACCACTTGCTTTAGAAGTGCGCCTTTATTGATGTTGTTGCAGCAAATCCGCAATCATTGCAACGTTTTGGAACTCCATCTATAAATGATGTCTGGCTGTCATGCTGATCCTCATTTTTTATTTTTTTTGGAGTTGTTGAGTTATTGATCTGGAGCAAGTATACTTTATATGCTAGCTTCAGGTCAGTAACTCGTGAGAGAAGCCAGAGAGCTAGCATTTTTTAAGGTGGCCAGCAGTGGCATCCTACATATTTCTTAGTACTGCATGTTTCCTTAGGCTGTGAGTTTGTTTCTGATATCCTGGCCACTTGGAGTGTAGGAAAGAAAATCATTTTTGTGTCTCATATTGGAGAAGTCATTGGATGATGGGAATAAACAGCCCAGCTATTGGATTACACGCACGGGTTTGAAGTTTACGACCTGCCCGAGCTCTGCTTGTCCTCGGGTGCCTGCGAGCAGCTGCGAGTTGACGGCCTCTGCTGGATCGCAGCACTATTTCTTCCGGCCTTTTTATAGTAACACAATTGACTTTCTCTTCTGGAAGGTCACACTAGAAGAAGGACCCGCTGAGACAAGACGCGCATCATTAGTGTCACCCTCCTGCAGGTGAAGTGACACGGATATTTTATATAGCACAGACATTTATATCATGGCCATGGCGCTGACGGTTAAAGGAGCGGTACACCAAAGTACCACTCTGCGTTATGCTTGTCAGAGCGTCTTGTCCCCAATTTATTTCATAGATGTTCTTTGATGGAAGCTAAAATACACATTTGGATAAGAACAGAGAACTTTGTGTAGTGTATTTTTCTATTTCAGTATTTTTTATGTCCAATAAAGGT